GATACTCCCCGCAACATGCTTTCCCACTCCCATCTCTAATTGTAAATATCTTGTTTTATTTTTCCGATGTATATGATTTAACNATAAAATGGGATCGGGTTGCACGCCGCAACAATATTACATGATTTGGGATTGGGTTGCACGCCGCAACGAGAAAGAAATGGAAGTGAATATTGTGTTTGTTTTCCTTATTCTTGTTGGCAATTGAATTATGGTTTTTTCTTTACATTCCTCTACTGGTATTCTGTTGTTATCTGATACTCCCCGCAACATGCTTTCCCACTCCCATCTCTAATTGTAAATATCTTGTTTTATTTTTCCGATGTATATGATTTAACTGCACAGGTTTATTTGGTATTCTGGTCCTAGCCTCGTCACTACTTCACCGAGGTTAGGCTAGACACTTACCAGCACATGGGGTCGCTTATGCTGATACTACACTCGGCACTGTGTGCAGATCCCGGTGCTGCAGCTTTTAGACCACAGTGAGGGTGCTACCTTCAGTCCATTCAGGCGACCTGAGGTAAACCTGCAGGCGTCCGCAGGCCCTGGCGTCTCTTTCTATCTTTCCATTCTGTTTCTTTTATGTATTTCAGAGAAAACGTTGTATTTATCTTTCAGACCCTTATTTGTAGTACTTTAGGCAGTCTGTAAAATTGTGACACCAGTTCTGGGTATCGTATGTTTAAGGATTGGTATTGATATTTTTATTAAACTGTTACATTTTATTCTTCCACTTTATTATTTTCGTTGATTATGAAATGTTAATTCACGACTGCTAAATGATTGAAAATGGAAAAAGGTAAATAATCGTAATGGTTGGCTTGCCTAGCTTTTACTAGTTATGGGAAATTCGGGTCGTGACAAACATCAATATCAATGTGTGAATATATAAGTTCTTAAGAGCAATAATTTATCAAATGAATATTCTTCCATGTGCGCAGGTTTCACATGAGATTCCTCCATGAATGTCGTTCAATCAAAGAATATGATTATATGATGTGACGGGCTTAATTATATGTTGATTTCTTATTCCCTTAATTATTGAAACTTCACAATAAAAGTTGGACTTCAAACATTCACCGCTAATCATAAATATACGAATATGTAATATTGCACATGCACAATTTAGACATTTGAAGATTGCATGCCTTACCGACATACAGGTAGTCATCAGATTCTTCAAGATTTGGTTCATTGACCTAAAGTTTTGGCATGCCTTTTTGTCTCAATATTAAACTCTCTAGAAATATTTGGGTAAATTATATTATAACAATAACTTTAATTAACAACATTTGAGGCGATAATATATAGTATTAGTTAACTATGGTTTAGTGATAACAAAATATTTATATATATCATATATGATGCGTATTATATATTCATTGTATTTATACAAACACAAGTGCGGGTAATTTTTTTGTTTGGTTTATGTCATGTCACTTAAGTTGGCTTACTCACTTGTTTTAATTATGTGAAACTGTTTGACTTAGTAATGAATTTAACAAAAAAATAAATACTTTAAAAATTTATAATTTTAAATATGTCATAATATTTGTTATTACTATAAGCCTTTCGAAACTTATAATCTTAAATATATCATAATATTTGTATGGCTATAAAGTTTCTCATTACGCTTAAGTGAAATGTCTAGCTCATTCAAATTGTTTCAACAATTAAAAGGAAGCTGGTTCTTTTTTAAATACTTAAATAATGATATAAGGTCACACAAACTAAAACCAAGGTCAAAGGGAGTATATCATTCCTATCTTTCATTTTTATTTTATTTTGTAAAGAACGAAGTATTTTTATACAAGTAAGTTAATTTTTGTTTTACCTTTAATGATATGCTTCTATCGCCATATAATGGCTAATAACATATTTAAAAATTTATAAGTTTTAAAAGTCAATATTTTTTTAAATTTCTTGTCCAATCAATTATATCATATTAAATGAAATAGAGGAATTGTATATGTATGTTGTTCGTAATTAGTAGCAAAAAGGGAATTAAAAGTGGACGAATTTATAACTGTAGTTTTTTTTTTCTTCTTATTTTTCTTTTGTCATTATTTCTCCACCGAACCAATTGATTATATTCTGAGGTGTGTAGCTATGTGTACCTTGAGAGACAATGGCAATGCAAGAAAAGAAAGCTCAAATAATTTGACACATTCTTCAACGAAAGGGCACATTCACATCCAAGTCAAATCTCCGTGAACCAGTATGAAACTGAATATGAAAAATTTAGTGGGTTCTGACTACTGCAGCTAAATACTAATATGTGGTCCAAATTTGAGTAGAGCAAAATAGGGTTTTCGCTCCCAGTATTTAAATTATATTAAGTAATTTAATTTTAGGAGTCATAAATTGAAGTAGGTAGAATTTATACATATCTGATTTATTTTCATACACATAATTATAGAAGATTATTCAAATAATATAATCCAAGTCAAAATGTGCACATGAATGAATTCTCTTTCATATACTATTATACTTATTTTAATCATATTCTTACCCTTTTAATTTGTTGTGGTAGTTATTCAGTGGGAAGGGAAGGGAAGGGAAGGAGAGGCGAACATTTAGCTCAACTACTATAAATTGGCACCATTAGCAAACCTAACGTACGAATATAATGGGTGTCCATATCATGAGAGTAAAAATAGCTCTGCTCATGAGCTTATTCTTATTCGAAGCAAGTCTAGTCCTTGGGGATATAGGCACTGCAACATCTTACAATTCTCCTTATACACGTAAGTCCTTTTTAATTTAACTTCTAAAATAATTATGCACTCGATCGGGTACGTGCAAATAAGTTTTTACCCTAGAGTAATTTGTGGGATGAATCCCTCCCTTTCCATATACCAATACATGGAATAGTTTTTAGAATTCCATACGTTTTCTCTTTTCTCGAAAGTATCTTCTTTCAGTAATATTATCAATCAGAAATTATTATGTTCATTATTCTTCATATCCAAGTCCTTTGGATAAAATGTTCAAGTTCCTACAATGCATGGTGAAATTGTTACCTGTTTGAATCTTATTCAATTCATAGTGTAATGCTGATGATCATTACTTTTAGCAAGTATGTGACGTTAATCAATAATAATATAATACAACACGGAGCTAAGAAAGATTTGTTAGCTGGAGATTTTCCTCGTTTTGGATTTTGTCAAAGAAAGAGCGCTTACTAGTGGGTCCATAAAATTAGACGGTGTAACTAGTTATTTTTTTCGTATATATTTTCTATGTTGAATCCCCTTAAGTTCTTCGCTTCTTTATATCTTAATTTTCTTTCGCGAAAATCCTGGCTCCTGCTTACACCATTTCTTCTTGCAGCAACAAGATGCAATGGAAATAGGGGAGATCAGTTTCCGGCAGGGAATTTGTTTGTAGCAGTAAGTGAAGGGTTGTGGGATAATGGGGCCGCGTGTGGGCGGCGTTACAGATTGAGATGTCTGAGTGGAAGTGGCCGTCGGCCGTGCAAGGGCGGCACGATTGACGTTAGGGTGGTGGATTACTGCCGCAAAAGGCCATGCCCTTCCACCATTGCCTTGTCCAGTGATGCTTTTTCTGAAATCTCTCGTTCTCCTAATGCTAAAATCAATATAGAATACATCCAGTATGTGTCCTTATCTCATTATACATAGTACGTATCATTTAGTCTATTGTGCTAATTTGTTTCTTTCATCATTTTCCTGAACATGGTTCTTTGGTTTGCTTTGTAGAATTTAGTACGAAGAAGCAGCAGCTATTTTTCCCAACTTATCATTGACAAGATTTTGCAGTTAGTTTTCAATAAACTGAAGTATAGAAGAGAGGCTAAAAAGGTGGACAAGTGGAATTGTAATGGAAAATCATGTGTAGTCAGTAATGGTTTTATTGTAATTTAACAAGTCCTCCATTGTGTATCATTTTTAACCTTTGTTCTTTACAAAATTAATGTTTAGAAAGAAGAGGGATATATAGTTTTGTATGCTTTCAATATTGTCCTTTGACAAAGTGTAAAGTGTTCATATCTTGAAACTATTTCATTTCCATTTACTACACTCTCTTCATTTTGGAACGTTCTAAAATGTTTAGCACTCTTTTATTTTCATGCAATTTTAATTATAAATTCAAGTTCATTAAACTATATATTTGCACTTTAAAATTCATTTGATGTGAAAGCTACTTTCTTTTTAATCTTTATTTTAATATTATTTTATTATCAATGCCGCGATATTCAAAGGCAGATCCATGATTTAAATCATATGGGTTCAACTCTTAAGGTTTTTAGCATTGAACTCATTATACTTTTAAAGTTATGGGTTCATATCCACTATTTTTGCAATTTTAGTGAATTTTTACATATAAATTTTTATACCGTGTCGAAAGTTATGGGTTCAGTTGAACCAGTTCGTTGCTAACTACAACCGCCTTTGGCGTTATTATATGATTAAAATTAACAATATTAATTAAATTTAATTTGTGGCATATCAAATATTATCACATAGAACGAAACGAAATAAATAAGTTAAAGGTGAAAGGAAATCTTAGAAAGGTGACGATTTAAGACATCCATACAAGGGAGCGACAAATGATATAGGACAAAGACTATAAATTTAACACACAACAATTCTTGGTTCGTAACTGTTGGCTTTAAGTTTAGGCAGCTTAAAATAAAGGGTGAATGGAAAATAGAGGGAAAATAAAATATTTGAATTTTTCTCCTTGTCAAAGGGACATTGTCCCATATTGGAGAAAAAAAAAGACTGTTGATGGGTATATATATAATTGCTCTTCTTATAGCTCTTAAAGAGTTAAGAAGAATGCAAGCTTCACGACGTCGTCGTCGCTCGGCTTAATTGATTAATCTTTTTGGACAGAATTTCTTCAGATTTAATAAAATATTAATTAAATATCCAACCCGAACCGGATCCGTGCTCGACCCGATTCACTTTCTTCCCAGATTTTTATTTAAATTTCCCTCCCGTTTTTAAATGACTATTTTGAAGAGTTGTGAACTTTCAAAAACAGTACTTTCACTGGCTATAAATTCATTTGATTCCTCAGATTATTTTCTTACGAAATTTTTTGATTTTCTTCTTCTTCTTCTGCACAAAATTTTCCAGTGTGTTTTACAACCATTGAGTGGTTTGAAGTTCATCAGAGTTTTTTGGTACCAATACACTGGCGAGTAAAAATCGTTCTATCCTGGAAGAATAATATTCCAACACCTCGGGTACTTGAGGGGAATAATTCCCTTAAGGACACATTGTGCAATCAGTGGGCTCGATTTATTCCGCAATTATTTTCAGATATTATTTCGACATTCTGTTGCTACTAACTTTCTGTTTCTGTTTCTATTTCAGAAAGTTTACTATTTTTATTATTTAGTACAGTAATACAGATTGACTAACAATCTTAAGGAAATTAATTATTCATAATCTGTATTTTGTTTTTGGAGATTACAACCTGTGTGATTACTCCTTTTGAATTTTTATATTCTGATTTGATGATATAAAAACTTCATCGGAGTATTAAAATTTAGAAACGATTTGAAGAACATAAAAATTTCATCGTTTTCTATGAAACAGTATATAAAAACTTCGGTTTTTATTTATTAAACATATTATTTATCGTTAATTACAGTATTGTTTACTGTTCTATTTTTTTCCATTAATTGAACTCTTTTGTTGTTGACAGTAAGAAATGACAATTGATAATAAAAATCCTTCTGTGACTGTTGTGGCATCGACGATAGCCTCATCAAGCTGAACTGCTATGCCATCGGCCGAAAAGTCGGAAAAATTTTCTAGAGCCAACTTCAAAGGATGACAGCAAAGGGTGTTCTTCTGGCTTACCGCACTTGGTATGCAAAAATTCACCAGTGACGAACCTCCAGTGCCTGCTACGGACATGCTGGATAATGAGAAATTTATGATTGTTGAGGCGTAGAAACATGCAGATTTTCTTTGCAAAGGCTATATCCTAAGTGCATTAGAGAATGACTTATACAATGTCTATAGTGCTATGAATACTTCGAAAGAATTATGGGACGCACTTGAGAAGAAGTACCAGACTGAAGATGTATGCTTGAAGAAGTTTGTGGTTGCCAAGTTTCTAGACTATAAAGTGGTAGACAACAAAATAGTTGGAACCCAAGTTCAAGAAGTCCAACTTATTTTTCACGACCTTATTGCTGAAGGTATGGTCGTGAATGAAGCATTTCAAGTGGCTGCAATGATTGAAAAATTACCTCCTTCGTGAAGAGATTTCAAAAGCTATCTTAAGCACAAGCACAAAGAAATAAAGTTGGAAGATTTTGTGATTCATCTCAAGATTGAGGAAGACAACAAAACAGCCGAGAAAAAATCTCGTGGAAATTCAACGATCATGGGAGTTAATATCGTTGAGGAGGCTGCTCCAAAAAGTAAGAAGAAGAAGAAGAAGAGGTCTTCTGGACAAACTAAGGATCAGAACAAAAAGAAATTCAAGGGCAAATGCTATAATTGTGGAAAAGTTGGTCACAAAGCCACTGATTCTCGTCTCTCGAAAAAGGATAAGAAGAAGGAACATGCCAACATAGTGGAGAAGAATGATGACATTGATGATCTATATGCAATGCTTTTGCAATCCAACCTAGTTGGAAATTCGAAGGAGCTGTGGATTGACGCTAGAGCCACTCAACATGTTTGTGCTATTAAAGAAGCATTTGCAACTTACTCTACTGCTGGTCCCGAAGAAGAGCTTTCCATGGGAAATACTGCAACAACCAAGATTGAAGGTTATAGGAAGATATTCCTGAAGATGACTTCCGGCAAGGTGTTAATGCTCAAAAATGTTCTTCATGTTCCTACTATTAGGAAGAATTTAGTTTCTACTTCTTTACTTGTTAAGAATGGATTCAAATGTGTATTTGTTTCTGAAAAAGTTATTGTAAGCAAGAATGAAATGTATGTTGGAAAGGGCTACTTCACAGAGGGCCTTTTCAAACTCAATGTAATGGACGTTGACAGTATGAATAAAATTTCAGTTTTTTCTTATTTATTGGAGACAAATAATTTATGGCATATTCGTTTAGGATATGTCAATTACAAAACCTCGAGGAAGTTAATTAATTTAGAAGTATTGCCTAAATTCGAGTATAATAAATCAAAATATCAAATATGTGTTGAATCTAAGTTTGTAAAACATCCTTATAAGTTTGTTGAAAGGAATTAAAATCCTTTAGATTTAATTCATGCTGACATTTGTGATATGAAGTCGACACCATATCGAGGTAAGAAAAAATATTTTATTACTTTTATTGATAATTGCACCCGATATTGTTATGTTTATTTATTAATAGTAAGGATAAAGCAATTGAAGCATTTAAGCAATACAAGAATGAAGTGGAGAATCAATTGAATAAAAAGATCAAAATGATTAGAAGTGATCGGGGTGGAGAATATGAATCTCCGTTTGCAGAAATATGTTCGGAATATGGAATTATCCATCAAACTACTGCCCTCTACATACCTCAATCTAATGGAATTGCAGAAAGAAAAAATCATACATTAAAGAAAATGATGAATTCTTTATTAATAAGTTTCGGATTACCTCAGAGTTTGTGGGAGAAGCTATCCTTAGAGCTAACCGAATACTCAAAAAAATACTCCACAGCAAAATACATTCTATTACATATGAAAAATAGAAAGGAAGAAAATCCAACTGAAATATTTCAAAGTGTGGAGGTGTCTAGCAAAGCTACAAGTTCATTTACCCAAAAGAGTTAAAATCGGACCAAAAACTGTAGATTGTGTTTTTATTAATATGCTACAAACAGTAAAGCATGTAAGTTTTGGTTCATAAATCTGATAATCCCGAAATTCATGTTAATACGATAATTGAATCAGATAATGCTGAATTTTTTGAAAGCATCACTCACGTGAAAGACCTAAACGACCACGGGAAGAACCAAAGGAAAATACTCCACGTGAAGAAGATCCAAGGTGCAACAAACGTCAAAGAACATCTACTTCCTTTGGACCAGATTTTGTGGTATTCTTCATCAATCTCCCCATTCTCCTGAATAATCGACTCAAGTTACTTAGAACTTCCTCTCATAGGGATAGCTTGTAAGTCCAGCCTCACCTCCCCTTCCCCTCCTTGAGTCTCGCTATTGAACTTACACTCCAATTATTCTATCTTGGTGCTGCTTAACTTGAAACTTTTAGATTCCAAAGTCTGCCTCCATACCTCTAATTGCATGTTGACACTGTCTGCAAATAGCATGCACCACGACACCTCTCCTTGGAGGTGGCATGTTAGTACATTCATCACTAGAGCAAACAAAAAAGGGATGAGTGCCGACCCCTGATGCAACCCCATCATAACCGAAAAATGGTCCGAGTCCCCGCCCACCGTCCTCACCCGGGTCTTTACTCCATCATAAATGTACTTAATCAACCTAACATAGGTAAAAGGTACACCTCTAGCCTCCAAACATCTCCATAAAACCTCTATCGGAACTTTATCGAATGCATTTTCTAAGTCGATGAACACCAGATGCAAGTCCTTCTTTCTCTCCTTATACTGCTTCATCAATCTCCTGACAAAGTGGATGGCTTCTGTTGTCGAACGCCCTGGCATAAACCCAAATTAGTTCTCCAAATGAGACACACTCTACCTCAGCCTTAGCTCCACCACTCTCTCCCAGACTTCCATAGTATGGCTAAGCATCTTGATACCCCGATAGTTATTGCAATTTTGGATATCACCCTTGTTCTTGTATACAAGAACCATCGTGCTCTACCTCCACTCTTCGGGCATCTTCTTTGTTCTAAAAATGACATTAAATAACCTAGTGAGCCACTCCATGCCTGTCTTGCCCGCATTCTTCCAAAACTCCACCGGAATTTCATCCAGCCCGGTCTCTTTGCCCCTGCTCATCTTACGCATAGCCCCTTCAACTTCATCAACCTCTAATCTGCCTACAATACCCAAAGTCACAACGACTCCCAGAGAGTTCCAGATCACCCAGTACAATGCTCATGTCCCCCTCCTTGTTCAAGAGACTA